AATTCCTACCTTGTCTCCTGTCAGAGCAGGGGAACTGTGTCTCTACCTCCTCCTGTCTAAGTCCCTCTCTCCCCATCACATTATGTTCTGGACCCCATTCTCCTGTGAAGCCTCCCTCTGTGAGGCATCTTACTCTCTCTGCTGTCTTCTGACATTCCAATTACATGGTACTTCCTCCTCAGTCTAATAACGTATTCTATTCTTGCCCATCTTTAAAAAACAAAACAAAACAAAGACTATCTTGTGACCCAGTATTTCTCTCAAGCTACCACCCTATTTCTGTCCTTCCATTTAAAGTTAAATATATTGAAAAAAATTAGAAAATTCCCATTACCTCCTCAATCTACTGCAATCTAGCTTTTATCTCACTCTCCATTGAAGCTGCTCTCACTTAAGTCACTAGTGACCACCATGTTCCTAAATCTAGCACATTCCAAACCCTCTCTTACTTGACTCTGGGCATGCTTTACACACTTGATCACTTCCTTCTTAAAACTTTTTTCCTCTTGGTTTTCCAGAGGTCTCGCCTGGATGATCCTCCTTGGTCTCCTTTTCTCTTTTGCTTCCTTCACGGTACTCCCATATGTTATTGTGTCCAGACTGTAACTTTGGCCTTTTCTCATTCCCTCCCGTGGCTTCACTTCCACCTTAAGGTCAATGACTACTGAAATTATGTCTCCATTCCCGCCACCCTGGAAGCTCCAAAGCCACAGGCCCAGCTGCCTCCACTTGGATATTCCCACAGATCCTGACATTTAATATGTAGAAAACTTGATTCACCACCCTCTTTCTCAAATCTGCCTTTCCTGCTGTGTTCCCATCTCAGTGTTATCCCCCCATTTGAACATCCTTGACTCCTCAATTTTTCCTTAATCCCCATAATCACTCACTTAGTCAAAGACACTCTCTTCTTTGATACCTCTTGAATCCATCCCCTTCTCCTACCCCTTAGTTGATGCTGACATCAGCTCTCACCTGGATTGCTGCAACTGGTCTCCAAAATAGTCTCTTGGCTTCCAGTCTTTTCCACCTGCAATCCATTCCCAGCACTGCTCTTTGTGATCTGGTTCCTGCCTACCTCTCCAGACTTATCTCCCGTTATTTCCTCTCTGGGTTCTAGTTCTTACACACTCCAGCTATACTGAATGGCCTGCATTGCTCTGAATGGGCCACATTTTTATGCTTCATGTTGTCCTCTTGGTCTGGTACACTCCCCTTCAGTGTCTTTTGCCTTGAAAACTTCTTTTGTTCTTCTTGACTCAGTTCAGTATTGCCTTCCTACTGGATTTCCATAGAATTTCTCTGACCTTCCTATGGGATCCTTACACTCTGTATACGCCTTTATTATTGTACTTTTCATTAGTACTGCTCTCAGAGCTGTGACTGTTACCTTATATGGCAAAAGAGATTTTGCAGATGTGATTAAATCAAGGGTCTTGAGATGGGGAGGTTATCCTGAATTATCTGGGCAAGTCCTAAATGTAATCACAAATGTCCTTATAAGAGGGAGGCAGAAGGAGATTTGACTACAGAAGGAGGCAGTGTAACCACTTAAGCTAGATAATACACTGATGGCTTTGAAGATGGAGGAAGGGGCCACAGACCAAAGAATGCAACTTTAAAAGCTGAAAATTTTAAGGAAACAGATTCTCCCCCTAGAACCTCCAAAGAAAGTGCAGCCCTGCTTAAATTTTGATTTCAGCCCAATGAAATATATTGCAGACTTCTGATCTTCATAACTGTAAGAGAATAAATATGTATTGTATTAAGCTACCAAGTTTGTGGTCGTTTGTTACAGCAGCAATAGGAAACTAATACCTTGGGCCAAGAGAAGCCCTGCCCTGGGCCTCAGGCTGCAGAGGCCCCTGCTCTATTCCTATTCCAGCTGTGGGGGTAAAGAGCCTATGTCCTCAATTCTAGACTCAAGAAATTCTTCCTCAGCAGCCACATAGCACAGGGAGATCAGCTCGGTGCTTTGTGTCCACCTAGAGGGGTGGGATAGGGAGGATGGGAGGGAGACGCAAGAGGGAGGAGATATGGGGATATATGTTTATGTATAGCTGATTCACTTTGTTCTACAGCAGAAACTAACACACCATTTTAAAGCAATTATCCTCCAATAAATATGTTAAAAAAAAAAGAAAACGAAAAAAGAAATTCTTCCTGGAGGCCTATTTCTTGAGCCTAAATAACTCTTCCCCAAGTTTGTTCTTTTGAGACAGACTGTACTGCTAGTGGACCCATGCTTTGATCTGAAGGGTAGTCAAGTGAGCAACTGTTTGTAGGATGAGCCACTGTACAGACAATAGACTGAAGGGCACAAGAACTGAAGCCAGGAGACCAGAGAGAAGGCTACCACAGTAATTCAAGTAAGAGATGATGATAGTGGTGGAAATGTGAGAAGTGGCTAGATTCTGGGTATACTTTGAAAATAAAGGCAATAGGCATCCACGTTGGATGGGAGGTATGAGAGAAAGGGAAGTGTAAGTGTGATTCCAAGGTTTCTGGTCTGCACAACTAGAAAGATGTCATTGCCATTAATTTAGATGATAAAGAAGGGAGAAAGAGCACTTATTGAGGTAAAGATGAGTGGCTCTATTTTAAATGTATTAAATTTAGGATGCCTGTTAGATAGCAAAATGGGTAAGTGGTTGGATATTTGAGTGAATCTTGCTTTTCTCAAAGACTGTATGCTTCCAGCAACTAGCATAGGGTCTTGAAATAGAGATTATTAATAGTTGATGGGTCAAGTGAATATGTGACATTCCTTCCTAGAAATGTTTCAAGATATACTCACAGTTTTTTATCCTTACATCATCAAGTAGGTTAATATCCAGACCCTTGACATCACACAGCCTGGCCAACTGCGTAAGCCAGGGATATTAACAGCTTGATTGTTTAGTATCCTCTTGTTCTTGGCTCTCTCAAACGTTTTGATTAGGACTAGGGGAGATATTGAATATTAATACCAAGTGCACTGAAGTCAGATCCATAGACTGTCTTACTATCTTAGTGGTGAACTTTCTTAACTTGCTGATTGCAAGAAATTTTTCTCTGTAATTATAACATGTATAATAATTTGACTTCTTTGTTCCATCTCTGAAATCATGTTGGTTTCCCCACCACATGTTTGGAAAAGTTTACAGCCAGAGCTTTTGTTATTTCAATCCACTTGAAAGCATCCTGGATACTAATAGGGCCTGAAAGAGTGTCTGATGTTGCTGAATAGTCTATAAAGGTTGTTTGTTAGAAAATGTTAATTTGATGAATGAGCAATAACGCTGATCCTACTGGATCTAAATTTACAGCCACTATAAAACTATAAGTCTATAAAACTTAGTGTGTTTTATATTGTTAAAAAGGTCACAGCTCTGTTGCAAGATGTTGGAGACTAGATTGCTTGTGCATTTTCTCTTGTACCTTCTACAGTTAATCCTCCCCGCCCCCCGCCCCCACTCTCCTGAAGTTTCTCTTGTCAAGTTCACCAATGACATTCACGTTACAAAATCTAGAGTCATTGTTTTTAATGCTCATTTTACTTATTTTCTCAGCAATGTTTGACCCAATTGACTCCTCCCTCCTGGAACACTTTTTCTCCTTTATTTTGGATTACCGTGTTCTCTTGGTGTGATGGTTAGTTTTATGTGTCAACTTGAGTGGACCACGGGGTGCCCAGACATTTGGTTAAACATTATTCTGGGCGTGTCTTATTTTGGGTGTGTCAGCCTACTCAGTAGGCTGAGTAAAGCAGATTGCCTTCTCTAATGTAGAGGAGACTCATCCAATCAATTGAAGACCAGAAACGAACAAAAGAGCTGAGTAACTCCTGCTGCCTGATTGGTCTGAGCTGGAACATTGGTATTTTTCTGCCTTTGGTTTCTAATTGAAACATCAGTTTTTCTTGGGTCCTGAACCTGTGGGCTCTCCTGGTTCTCAGGACTTCAGACTCAGATTGGAACTACACCAGCAGCATTCCTGGGTTTCCAACTTGCTGACTGTACACCTTGAGACTTCTCAGCCTCCACAGTTGCACGAGCCAATTCTTTATAATAAATCTCTTCATATATATTCGTTTATTTGCTTGTAGGCCATCTCCCCTACTAGAGGATAACACTATGAGCAGAGACCTTTCTTCTATTTAGTTCACATCTGTATTCCCAGCCCTGGGATTGTGTCTAGCAGATAGTAGGCATTCAATAAATATTTGTGGACTGTATGAAAAAATTTGCTTGTATATGTTTTCCTAAGGCCTAAGACCAGTAACTACCTGTGCTTGTGTGCATATGTCTTCACAGGTGCTCAGAATATGTCCATATATGTTATCTTATTTATACTCACATAACCTGTAAGAAAGGAAGGAGGGGAACAATTTAACAATTCCGAATGGGAATATTAGTTCTTGAGGATATTAGTTTAATGTCCTGTACTTTGAAGATAAGAGTGCCTCAAAGTGGGCTACTGGGCTTATCTTAATTTACCTCATGAACACAGTATATCTTGGAATCCTGTCTTTGATGAATTTATTTATTTTATAAGGCTGTGCATTTTGCTACAAGACCTGGCCAGTAACAGTATACTCAGTCAATATGAATTTTCAACATTTAAAATTCTTTCCAAACTGGAAAAAATACATCTAAGATTTGTGGTTTCAGGATTCACAAGTGCACATGTGGTAAGATAAAGGAATGGTTTCAGACATCCTCTGGAGCTTGTCTTCCAAACCCAGTAACCAAGGGCGTAGATTAATTTGCACTGATACACAAATAACCCTTTAGTGTCCTGTGAATACCGTTATGGGAATATATTACTCAGTTCCTGTACCTCCCCAATAATCTGGATTAGGTGTTTCAGTGACAATTTATGAGCAATGTGCAAATGTGTGTGATTTTTTACCTTAAGATTTTCACAGGATGGAGATAACACATAATAAACTTTTAAAGTAAATACACTAATAATTTGTCTCTTAAATAGTAATTCTATCATCAGTCACATGCCAAAAATTACATTTTTATAATGTGTTTATTTGTGTACAAAATATGTTGTAATTTACTGATGCATATGCAGCAAAATAGTCTATCACATACAACAAAAATACACTTTTACCCCCCTTCCCCTGCCCTTGAAAATGGCAACACTGTTTTGGCAGTTCAGCAGCTAAAAATAAAGTGCCATAATTAAGCAGTATTGGAATGTCTTCATTTGACAAGTGTGATGTACAATTTGAGTATACAACCGCCTTTTTGTTAGTTTTTTCACAGAACAGGAAATTCCACATCCTGAACACCTCCAGAAGATACAAATATTTGTATATATATGTACACATGTATACACTGTATATGTAAAGTTCCAACAAGCCTCTTTGTCCTTGTGAGTTTGTTGTGCTTATGTTTATTATCTCTTTCCAAAGTCAGAGTCACAGTATGGGATCTCAGAGTCCATCAGCAGGCACTGAGAAGCTCACCAAAGGCTGGCTTGTTGGGGGCGTGGTGTTGGTTAGAGGATGGAGGGAGCCTTCAGACCTCACTGGGGGACCTGGAGCGGAAGGGCACTTTGGACTGGAAACAGCCACAAAACAAGAGCCACAGGGCGCGTTGGATCTCCTGGTTGCGGAAGGCATAGATGATAGGATTGATCATAGAGTTGTAGGTGGCGGGCAGCAGGGTGGCGTAGGTGTAGACAGCTGGGTCCTCATGGCTGCCTACCACGCAGTAGATGGCAAAGGGCAGCCAGCTGGCACCGAAAGTGCCCAGCACCACGGCCAGCGTACCCACACCCTTTCTGGTGGCGGCAAGGTGGGGCGGCGCCAGGCAGTGCTGCTGCAGCGCGATCTGGTGCGCGTGACGCCAGACCACCTTGCAGATGCGCACGTAAAGGTGCAGCATGATGCCGAAGACCGCAAAGAAGGTGGCGGAGAGCAGTGCCACGTGGCTGCGCGTCAGCGGGCGCACCACGCTGCAGGCGGCGCGCTCTGCCAGGCAGTTCCAGCCAAGCACCGGCAGCAGCCCAAGGCCTAAGGACACCGTCCAGGTGGCAGCGAGAAGGAGGTGCACGCCCAACAGGGTCCGTCGCGAGTAATAGGTGAGCGCGTTGTAGAGGGACAGGTAGCGGTCCACCGTAATGGCCAGCAGGCTGCTGACGGAGGCAGCGAAGGAGGCCACGAGGAAGCCTACAGTAAGCAGGCTCACAGTCTCCGAGGGCACCACGTACTGGAATACGAAGTGCAGAATGAGACCGCAGCCCGCCAGCAGGTCGGCGGTGGCCAGGCTGCCTACCAGCACGAACATGGGCGTGCGCAGCGCAGGTGTGGACGCGATGAGCGCCACCACCAGCGCATTTTCGCCTGCGATCACCGTCCCAGACACGCAGAGCAGTACGTCCCATGGATTCACTGAAGACAGCAGCAGCCCCGTCGGCCCCCCTGGCAGCTGCGAAGACAACTCCAGCGACGCATTAGCTGCGCCGCTGCCCCCCAGCGCAGCTGCGGCTGCCGGGGGCCCCCATTCACCGGTGTCCCGCGCTCCTGCTGCGGTGGCCGCTGCCGCCGCACCCTCGGCCGCCACTGCCACCACCTGGGAGTCGTTGAGCGAAGATGAGCTCGCGTTCATCACAGCGGGAAGCTACACCCTGCGTGGACAGGGAGAACAAGCGTCAGGTGTGCGGTTTACGCCGCCAGGGTACTTCGCCGGGCGCTGCTCCCCCGCTCATATTGCCCATCCCACCCCGGGACCCCGGGGCAGAGCGAGGAAGCAGTGGTTGAGAGCCAAAAATAAATACCTGTTGAGTGAGTGAGCGTGTGAGTGCAATGCACAAGGGATGGCCGCACTGATATCTGAGTTTTTGCACAGATATACACACGAATAACACGCACTCGCATACACACAGATCACGTAAGTATGCCTGTATTTGCACACGCATCTTGCGCACCAAGCTAGTAGTGTCAGCCTCAGTGAGTGCCGCCCTGGCTCTGACCGGCTCGGTCAGGCGCTCTCCTCAACTGGGAGGCGGAGTAGCTGTCCACGGTGCTGAAAGCGAAGTTTCTGCGACCGTGGAGCACAGCGGACCCCGGAGGCCAGAGACCCCCTGGGAAAGCGGTTTCGGGGGAGAGAAGCTAGGAGGTCTGTGTAGGTGGAGGGTGTGTGGCGTCATGCTTGGCTCCAGGAAGGAGCCATCCCCTGGCCATCCTTCACCCCTTCCCCTCTGCACGCCCTCAGAGTTCCTTTAGAGAGCCGGGCTGCTCACCTGGGGAGTCAGGGCTTCAGGAAATCGCTGATCATGAGCGCTGTGGCTGGGCGCCAGGATGCGCTGCCCGCGCGGACAGAGCCGACGCCTGAAGGAGGTGGCCGGGACGGCGCGCAGAGGAGTGCAGGGCGCTGGTAGCTGTGCCGGCGCCGCTGAGAGTTACAGAGACACAGTCAGTACAAGAAAAGGCCGGTTACGAGCAGCGCGCCCGCTGGAGATTGACAGGCAGGGCGTGGTGACGTCAGGCTCCTGTTTCCAGGGTGCGAGCTAGGCACTCGCTTTCCTCGCCCGCCCATCAGCAAGCTCCCTCACCATATACCCTCTCCAAAGGATGTCTCAGAGGGTTCAAGGAGGGAGGAGAAACCAGAGGGCCGCCGCCGGCCCGGAGCCTCCAGGAATGGGATGGAAGAAAGAGGCAAGGGAGAAAAGAGTGGAGACTAAGGGCAGGCAAGGAGGGTGAGATGGGAGGGGAGCGATGAGGGATGAGTTGCACTGGCCAGGCTGCAAGGCCCCAAGTCAAAGGTCACTGAGGGGGACAGGTTGAAGGAAAAGGCCTGGAGAAGGGGGAGGCTGGGGGCAGAGAGGCCCAATCGCACGCAGAGTTGCTACCTTAAAGGAAAAGTACTGTTTGGGGGACAGGAATGAACTGGTGTGTGTGGTGGGGGAGGATGAGGTTTTTTTTAAAGGATGTTTTAAGGATGTTTCTGGTACAGTGTGTCAGCTGAGTAGAGCCAGAGGAGAAAAGCCAAGTTGTGGGGAACAGAGAAAAGATGGAACAGTTGAGGAAAACAATCTCTTCTTTTGCAGGTTACCTGTGCAATCAATTCCTCTCTCTCCCTCCATTTCTCCCTGTCCCTCACTATCTTTCTTGAACTCTACACAGCAGGTTTCACCATGATCTTCCCAGTCGAATGTTTCCCAACTGCACTAGCTAATAGTGCTCTTGGAACTTGCTTTTCAATTAAAGACCAGGTCTGGGTCTTGTTAGAAAAGAAGAAAACAGCAAAATGTGATTTACTTTGCTGGCAACAGACTTTGCCCTGTTAATTAGTACCCTATGAAACAAATTACAGGACGAAAATAGTGATAACTCAGCTGCACCAGACTTCAGTAGGCAGGAGTTTTATTTTCAGCTCCGATAAATCATCCTTTTGGTTTAAAGGCGTTTTGTTTTGTCAGTAAAATACAAGTATTAGACTTCTTCTTCTTTTTTTAATTATCCAGAATCTCCAATAGCTGTACTTGGGGGAAAAGCTAAAATAGTTGACTCCATCTAAGACTCTAGAATAAATGATTGCATATTGGCATGATGGTATTATGCCAGAGCCACAGACATGATTTTCAGGGACCACATGCTCTGGGCAAGGTGAAAATAGACAACATTTGTTACTGGTCCTTCCTCTACTTTTCCCTGTATACCTTCTTCTCTCTCCTGGCTTCACTTTGCCTCTACACCCAGGGGCCCCAAAAGAAAAAATATATTCGGACTGTCTACAGGCTGGAGTGGAAGGGGGATTTTTATCCTGGCCTTCTCCCTCTAAAAATGGCCCCCAAGTCCAGACTACTCCTGCCCTCCTGCACCTGTGCAACTGAACTTAACTAAAGAAAAGAAGGAAAACTATAGGACCACTCAATTCTTTGCTGCTCTTTGCTGTATTAGCCAGTGTTGGCCCATAAGATGAGTTTACATACAATTTCTCCATTTGGGGAGTTTATAAAATTCTCATGAACCTTCAAATTGACTGAAGTTCTAAGTTTCTGGAAAGTATCATTTTGAGTTTCAGTAAAAGATTGTCAACTAAAAGCCAAGAATGTTATTTCAGAGCTGTCAAGCAAACTGTCAAACCACTGTAATCACATGTTAATTGCAAATTTTTCAAACAATTAGATAAAGGCCCAAGGGAAGGAGAATCCTTCTTAGTGACTGAATTTGTTACATTTTTACATGTCACAAGGCAGTAGAAAGTATGAGAATAAAATTGAGCAAACAGAGATCCTGTGTTTCAGACATCTTCAGGCTTTCACTATTGCCAAGAAGGGACTGACTTTTCAGTAGTTTCAGGAGGAGGACAACACCCATATAATCATGTACATAAATGCTGGTTGAGGGTTTGTAGACTGTCTTTTGGTCGTGCCAGTCTCTGGTTACCTCTCTCAGATGCTAGACTGGATCCTGACAGCAGACAGGCACATTCTTTCAAGCTCCTCCTTATCTCCCCCACACCCACCTATCTCCTGGGAGGCAGAAGATGGGAAAGAAGAAAGGTATGGGTTCATTGGTTATGGATGGGTATTAGATGTACTTCATTGCCACTCTGCCCACAGCTCCTCACAAGAACCTGCCCTTCCAGTGATCTCCTAGAATGTTCAGCCTGTGAACCATGTGACAATTTCCACCCCCAGCCCAGCTTATGGGAAGAGACTGATGCTTGACCCAAGGCTAGACAAGACCAGCCATTATTTGCTGGACAGTGACCAGATTCCCTTCCTGAAAATTTGAACTAAGAAACATTGTGACAATGGTCAGTCAGTGCTGGGCTCTGGACCTGAAAGATCATGATAAGTTAGGGCTGCAGCACTCATGTTGAACCTTGTGTGAAATGAGAATCAGAGGAAGACAGCTGCAATGGAGGAATGAAGCAGATGTGCAGAGAGGAACAGAGATAAGGGAGATCAAATGAGTGAGAGATGGAGGGAATGACCTCAGTCCCTGAGTATCTGGTTGCCAGCTCTGGGAGTCTAGATCCCTGGATCCCTTGAAATTAGTATTTGTAGTCTCTACTACAAACCTTCCTAATCTTGAGGTTTCTTGAGTGGGTTTCTACTCTGAATCTTTGATACTTGACTGAAACACACAACTAAATGTATTATTCATCCACCAGGTTGTCTGATCCTGGTTATGTTTTGGGATGTGCAAAGTTTGGTTTCTGGCTTATAGGCACAGGTTAAACTCATTACCACCTCTGTGACACACCCAACATATCCTCTGGCGCCTTTATATTCCAGTACTATCCAAGCATAAACACAAGGAAACTTTCCTTCTCTGAGGTTATGCCCAGGAATCACAACCTCTCAACCACAACTCTTTCTCTTGCTCCCCTGGCTATCTCTTGCCCACCTCAGGCTCAGCTAGTGGTTCCCAACCCTTGCTGCACATTAGAATTACCTGGAAAGCTTTTTAAAACTACTGACTCCTGGATCTCTCACCCAGAGATTCTGATTCATTTGTCCTGGAGTGAGGACCAGGCACCAAATTTCCTAAAGACTCTAATGGAAAGCCAGGGTTGAGAACACTCATCTTAGCAATCATACCATTTCATTGTCAGTTTAGCATGCAGTGAAACTCCTAAAAATTGTAGATTGGAGTTTGGAATAGTTGCAATAAGGGAATTTTAGCAACAATCCAGCTTCAAATCACTTAGTGTAATTTCAGATTCAGGACACTGACCAGTCCTCTGTGACCTTTAATTTTCCACGCTCACAAGAACCTTCTTTATGTCCCAAGATGAAAGCTGACGCTTGGTTCCCTTTTAGCCCTGATGAACTCAGTAGCCCCATCAAGGAGCTCTAAATTCTGGTTGCCCTGGACCCTCTATTTTTCTGTAGCTCTCAGGTATTTTCCCTGTTCCTTATTCTGAGTTCACAGCCACTTCCCAGGTGTGCCCTCTCCTGGACCAGATCTTTGCAAATCAATTCTATTTTACAAAATCAGAGCTGAAGTCAGCCAAACTGTCTAGACCTTATAAAACTGGGTTGGAAAGACCCTTACCAGCAATTCTGGCCTCTCTCTGGGCATCTACACACACACACACACACACACACACACACACACACACACACACACACTCATGTGCACACACACACTCCCTCTACTTGGTTCTTAGAAATAAAAAATACAGTTTTCTACTGGGAAGTATAGGTCTATTTGCTGGTATACAGATACTTGTGCTGACAGCTCAGGAAGAGAGCAGGTGCTTAGTGAGATGTATGAAGCCGTTACTAAGAAAGGTCATTGCTGAAAGAGGCAGGAATCACAAGGGGCATTGAATACTCTAAATTGTATGGCCAGAACCAAGGTCTTGGATGGAGGTAATCTTCTGGGGACACATGCTGAGGCAGATAAATGTTATTAAAAATGTCTCCTTTTCTCTGCCTCCACCTGTCCCCATGGTTTCCTCTCCCCCTAAAGCATCAACGATGGGTCATAATGTCCAAGGTACCTACCTCCTCAGCATGTCCAAACACATCAGCGATGCTCCTGCTTCATGCCAGGTGAGCAGTCATCACTCCAGAGGGCTGTTATCCTGGGAGGTCAGCATCACATGATATTCCCACCAACTTTAGAAAAGGACCAGGCTACATTATTATTATTACATGTCCACATGATCCAGAACATTGTGCTGTACAGTTGAAATTTTTTCTTTAATTCAGTTGGTGAGCAACACCTCTTTTTTTGCATGAGAAACACATCAGGAAAAATAATAACGTTTAAAGACACGTTTTTGTTCATAAAGAGTGAAAATAACTTTATTGAGTTTTGTGGAGGTATGTATAATCTTACAATTTAGATTACTAGCTGAATATGAGAATGATAAGTTGGTTCTATTGGTATATTTGAAAATTAACAAGGAGGTAGTCTTCTAATCTGCTGTGCCCTACTTTTTCAAAGTGCTTTGAAGCTCACACAGTGGGTTCATACTCATTACCTCATTTTATTCTTTGAAACAATTACATGGAGTTTGGGGTTATTTTCTTGCAGATGTGACAAGTGAAGTTCAGAGAGGTGAAATGAGTTGTCCAAGGGCACACAGGTCACCAGCAAGTACATTGTGTACAAGATAGCAACAATCTCATGGGAAAGCAAAACAAACATGGATTCAATGTATGCAAAGGTATGTAGACTCCAAAACTCAAAGAGGCCTTACCTTGGATAGATGTATCCAAAATGATGGAGGTTATAACTTCAAAATCACTATGAGCAGCAGTTGATAGATGACTTTTTTTTCTGTTTTGTAAGCTGCTTTTAAAATGTATTGTAAAAAAAATTAAAGGGAATTTTGAAAGAAAAACTTTCATCCATATTCCCATCAGCTAACCAGGATTGCTTTTCCCTCCCAAGATTGTAACCTTCTTGAGGGGATGGACAAGTTCTAATTAATCTTTTCATCAGTATGATCTGTCACAGAGGAGGTGCTCTATACATGTCTAGTGAATGACTAT